AGCCAACATTTGACAGGATTACTCAGCGTAAGTAAAAGATATCCATACTTAGAAACTTTATGGTCGATTTTGCCCTTGGTGAATGAACTGAGTTCGTCGTTGTTCAACTATGTCACGATAACATTCTGACTATAATTACTCATGGTTATAATCAAAGAACCGAGCACGTTATCCTACGAGAGAGTGGGTACACCTGTACTGACTGATATGTTGGACTGGCTGAATTGATTAATTTATCCGGCGGGTACCAGAAGTTTGCTGTTCCGTAACTAACCCCTAACAAAACACTTACTCCCGTTCAACTGAGCAAACCCATGCCAGAAATGAAATCGCGAGGCCTCTGATTCAGTTCTGAACAGCTTGTTCACGAAGGATACATTACCAAGGGGTGAAAGTACAAATCTGTTGTTATATAGTTCCCAACTTGTTAAGGTTATGGTAGACATTTGTTTACAAACTGACTTGATTGGGGGAAGTTGAGTCTTACCTGGATCTCAGAACCCAATGGAACTCACCCGAATGAGTGGTATTGGACCACACACTAAGACATCGTGGGTATCGCTCCAAATGAAATAAGGAGTGACCTAAGTGGAACATATGAGGATGACGAATGTTATAAATGAAAGATCCAGCCGAAATTAAACGGACCCTACAGCAGAAAGTTCATCCACAAGCACATCTTTGATCCGGCGCCCTCAGTTTGGGGTTCAGATAAGAAGCACGGTGTATGGAGGTTAAGGTACTAGGCCTACCTGAGAGGCCCCAAAAAGATAGTGGTCGATTGTCCAAACTTTTCATCGACCTTGTGAGTAATAATATTGCTTGGTTGTTGGTCTGTTCGCCGAGCGTGGCAGTTGGATTGCAAACGTTTCATCATCAATCGAGGTGACATCGTCAGTGCACTCAACCATCGTCATTCAACCCTGCACTGACGATTTCACCTCGATTGGTGATGAAACGTTCGCAATCCAACTGCCAAGCTCGGCGAACAGACTGACAACCAAGCAGCGCGTCCGAGCTACCGACATTCCACAACATGCTAATAATATTGCTGCGCCGCTTTATGCAACACCGGAAATGCAGTGGTCCTTTGACGAGCTTCACCGGCGTGAATGCGGGCATCCTCGTGCCGTACACTAGCACCAAGGAACTTGTGCTGTCAGGAAGGTCGGATTCCCGAAGATTTTCCCAGAATATCCGAAACCTACTGAGACCCTCAACCCTACTAAACGCCGATCAGACAGCCCTGGATCAAAGTTAGACGGCGTCCTTCAAAATTTAGCGTGAGACAATTCTGGCTCAAGGTCAGACAGTGTCCCTCAATACGTAGCCCGGAACAGCCCTGGATCAAAGTCAGGCAGTGCGAAAAAGCCTTGGAGCAAGGTCAGACAGTGCCCTCTCAATAAACAGCGCGAGGCCATTGTACCTTCGCATTCGGTTCTTGCAATAACGCAGTCGTGTTCCTTGTCAGCGAGTCTTTTTTTCCGGAACTAGGCACTGGTGGGGCGACAGGAGTCAGTGTTACATATACTGAGTGTAATTTTTACCGCTTGGTGCTCACAATGCAGACAAAAAGGCAAGTGAATTCGGGCAATAGTGGCCGAGAAACCGGGATGGCTTGGCAGATGACTCCGTTGACCACAGCAGCTGACAGCACTGAGACGTCCGCTAACAGCGAACAGAATCGAAAAGGCTTGCTTAGTCTGTTATCGCAAGTCGATGGTGATGATTGATTTCATCTTTACGTGCATGTTTTGCCCAGTAGTTCTAACCGGAGAAAGTAATGTCCGGACGAGGCTAAAACGTAGGTTGCGACCGAAGTAACTCATTGACAACTGTGCAGTGTCCAATCACTTGACAGTTTCCTTTCTCATTGGATCACGGTGACGGGTACTCAGGGCAACGTTAGACGCTTATTATTCTGATACAATCCTGTGTGAGGTAGAGCAATACACTGGTCACGTTATATGCCACTATGTTCTACAGGTTATACTGTTTTAGTTTTATTTTACCATAACGGTCCCCGTGTTTTCAAAATCCACTAATCGATTTTGGACAATACGAGCTCCTTCTGGATAGTTCTACGTGTTCCAAGCCTGCTTTGATGCCTATCTCTTAGTCGATTCTGACCAAATCAAATCCATAAATGATGAACACTTTCAGAGCTACTTCCATCTGAGAAACGTAACCAAACGACCCGCTTCGTTTTCACTCGGACAATAGTAAAGATACGAAGCAAACTCGGTGTAAACAATTGTCAAATTGCACACAATATTCGGTAGATTTTAAAAACTAATTGCTTGCCACACATACCGTTTACTGAAGCTTTTAGAACGTGAGAAAAAGGTATGTGTTCAACAAACAAAACGGCTGATTATTCGACCACTGGTCGGAAGGTCGCGGGCTTGAAGTTCTCCGACTAGCGATGACTCTCGCAAGCTGTGGAGCGCTTCTCGGCCTAGAGTGCCTTCAGTGACAAGATGAAACGTCCATTAAAAATACACAATCACCGAATTCGTGTAACCCAAATTGTTACAGGTCAAAGCCTGCCTGGGCGTAGCTCCGCCTGGGCGTCCCAATAAGGACACACTGCTCTACAAAACGTTCACAGGTCTCTGCTTACTTCCATGAGTTGTTTGCTTTTATGCGCCAACATTACTTCTCAGCCACAAAAATCAGATGTAAACTCTGATTCCGCCACACGGGTAAGCAAAGTTTTCCTCATTACATTCGTGATACTGACGCCGGACGAACCTCACAGTGCGTCACATGCTATCGAGACCACACGACTACATATACACCCCGGAAAAGCCAGCTGATACCATACAGTATGTAAATAGGAGTTACTTTACTACCTCATTCCTATAGCAGCTAGTCCTACCCACTGAGCGTAGGTACTGCTTTCCATGGTTCGAGTTTATCATTCGCCACCGATCCTCGCCTTCATCAACTGTATGACTAAAGTGCATCAATAGCTTTAGGCCATTTGGTTTCCGGATCCTACACATCATACTGACAACTGTTTTCTTATTCTTGCGTTCTTTAGCGTGAATCACTCTTGTGACTACATCTTACAGTAGATTCCGGGTCGAATCAATACTACTTACAACAATACTACTTTTCTTCGTGTCCACGCAATGAGGTGTGATAAATTGACTTCATACTGTTTCACCGAAACAGGAACATGACAGTGGGGGCGAAATAAGCAAACCGAACAGTTATAGCAAAGAATGACGCACTACTGATTGCTCATTGTTCACATAATATCATCCCTTTGCATTAATATTTCTGATCAGATTCTCGAGTTCGAGAAAGCTGAGTGATTGAAGCACGAAGGTCCGTGAGCAGAAGGTCCGCCGTTCGAATCGAACCCCGATATCTCGACTGTTCCTGTCTGGGCTTTGGCAAATGGCAATATTTCAGTCCCAGTGCATCCATCGGATGGAATGGCAACTAGTGGCCGATTTTTCTGGTTGTAGGCAGTTACGGGATCTGTAGAATTCATGCTCACATCACTCTCCCCGTGCTCTGGCTCAATTATTCTAGTGAGTCCTATTAGAGCTCATGAGCAATTCATACCCTTGGTCGTGCAGGGGTTTGAACTCCGTACGTCTGACATGCAAGGCGGGCTTGTTAGCAATGCTCCACCAGCGCATAAGAATTTTTACGTCTGAACAGACGAACATGCTGAAAATTGGACGATGTGATTGGTTTTTCGATCGACTGGCCCGCCTGCCGGGACTCTGTCATAAAATCGATAGTCTCAAACGCTACTACATCCTACAGCCTTGCTATCTGGCCCCATCTACATTCAAAGATGAAACATGTTATACCTCTCTACGCTTGCGCCACCTGGCAGTATCCCAGTCTTCGCGTTTCCTTCGGGCGGCATGGCAGCTACGCACCGAAATGGTGCTATAGCTGACCTACTGCTATGCCAGAGTTACGAAACAGTCACTTGGTAATTGTTTGCATTCTACAGTAACTGAAGGACGTACACACTCAGTAGAGAGGCACTGGTCAGAAGATGAGACCGCGACAATAAATTTGCCAAATTGTTATCCTAAACACCAGATTGAAACATTTGGACATCAAATACTCAGAAGAATGAATTACCATAATAACTAAGTGGACCGAAACGAAACCCGACTGTTCTAGAAATTTGGCACACAGATCGATTGTGAACTAATTGTCGCTTTCGGTTGTCCTCGTTTAGATCCCACTGTACACGGATTCGATCAATTGAAGGGCCACCTACACTTGCCTGTCCACCGATAATCGATTCAGTCTGAACGTGTCAATTTAGGGTTCGTTGTTTTGCAAATTTGAGAAACGGTCATAAAGCAACTTCTGGTTGGCCAAGCAATGGCGTTCAACCGTTTTTTGTTCGAAATATATCCAACACGTCAAGAAAATGCAAACTGTAATATTCGGCCGATGAGGCGAGTATTACTCAGAAGTAGTACAAAGATTCAGTCTGTCCGGGGAAGTATTCGAAGGATAATTAGATTCCGAAGATTGAGGTTGCTGCCCAGAGCTGATGGTTGGTATTTTGCTGATCATGGTCCATACTGTCAGGATAGATGCTATCTAGAGTTCAAAGTGAGGTTTTTTTAGTCGACAACTGAGCAGAACACTGTGCATTGAAGGTACCTTGATTACGGCTCTTGTTGGAGGTGCTTTATTGAATTTACTGAACAGAAGGTCCGTGGTTCGAACCCGACCTCTTGGCTTCTCGTGCCTAGGCTTCGACCACCTGGCAGCATCCCAGCTATCGTGCTTCCTTCGGGTGACATGGCAGCTAGGCACCGAAAGGGTGCTACGGCTGAACGATTATTTATTATATACCTTCCACCGAATCATTAGCTATTTAATGCGCTTTTCCGACGCCTTCAGTAGAGACACCAACGGTCTTTAGAAAGTGATTGGAAAACATCGCGTTGGTAACCGATTCCAACATTCCAGTTTTACTAAAACCTGTGCGGGTGCATGTTCACGGCCTTCAACGCAAGTACTGACCGACAGAGACAGACAAAAGCTACTTATAGGTTTCAAAGTATGTTCCAAACACCAATCGGACCAAGTTTAGAAGAATGGACCTAAAAACAGGCGTATTGTTGACCTATTCGTCAAAAGTGGCCCGTCGCCGTAGCAGTAAGATAAAAGGACACATAAAAATACTGCCTCAGACCAACTAACTCAAAAGACCATGAAATAAAGTGGGACTCAAATCGGTAGGAACGATAAGGATCACAGAGTTTGGGTGCGAAACCATCGAATGAAAATGGGAGACGGGGAGAATGTGAGCAACAGTCGAAAAACTGGCCACAAATAGGCTAGGTAACAAGTGGTAACGGAAATGTTACAAACTGGCACAGCCTTTTGGGAATCGTCAAGTATGCGAAATTCAAATTTGAGGAGGATAGTGACCTGACGTAGAAGAGGTGGCGATTGAAGGCGGATGAAGGCTAACAACAACCATTCCCTGAACGACGGTTATGATTTAGTTGAAGGCGGCTGGAGGCTTGGCGCATCCCGGGACGATGTTTGGAATCTGGGTCCCACAGCTGTGGAATGGTATATATGCGTTGAACCAAATCACTGAATACGCTGTTGACCCCTTCGCTTGTTTTTGCACTGGTCTCTGCGTATGGCATGTTGAACAAGCGAGCATAGCGCAACCCTTCTTCGCGTGTAACTTGTCGCGGTATCTGGGAGGTAGGTAACAGAGAAGAGAGTGAAAACATACGGACATATGTTCTACCTTGAGAGTTCAGTGGTTAAGGCGAGAAATTACGACTGAAAGGTCCGTGGTTCGAGCCCAACACCAGCATCTTGACTACTCTTGCCCAAGCTTGGGTAACCTGGCAGTATTTCAGCCCTCGTGCTGTCCTCAGGTGGAATGGTAGCTAGGAACCGAAACGGTTTTGCGGTTAGACGATTATTATCCTTATTACCTAGATAAAGTTCACAGTACAACAAGAGAACTCAAACTGGAATTCATATAGTGAATATACGTTCATTTGCAAACAAATTTGGTTTTTTATTATCCTCCTAGATAAAGTTCACAGTACAACAAGAGAACTCAAACTGGAATTCATATAGTGAATATACGTTCATTTGCAAACAAATTAAATTTGTCGAAAGACTCACCTGCAACCCAGCTGAAGCTCCCGTTTTTGATGTTTCCAGCGGTTCAATTTGGGTTCAAGTAGAACATAAGGTTGACATAAACTCGTGGACTGGACTACGCCGATGAGCTCCAAGAAGGGCAAAACTGGTCGTGGGCTGTCGACGAGTTGTCAGCAACCTTATGAGTACAAAAATGGAATGCAATGCATCGATTAAAGTTTATCTAGATGGATGAAATGGAGATAGATGAGCTGACGATTCGATGAGTAAACGGAGCATAATTTTAAGAACCGAAGGTCTGAAGATCCGATGAACAGGGTAGCCAGCGAGCGGATTTTGATGACCTTTTTAGAGGGTACACCATTTTCTCCTTGGACTTGAATGAAGACCAAGGAAATCCAATGAATCAGCACAATGGCTAATTTCCGTAATCAAACACATTCTAGACTAATTGACCAAACTAATGTATCAAACACGAAACAAGTCAACTGTGTGAAAAAGTATTTTGAAATAGTGGTTAGTACAAGTTTCATTAACAGGATGTCGAATAATCTCGTACCTTCGCTTCTTCACGGCCTCCAATGCGTAGCGATACTGTTTGATATCTTGAGTTAGCCTCGACTCATCTGTTAATCAAGCTGGACGAAAACGAGCCAACCGGTTCCATGTAGTCCTAGGGTACCAATCTACCATAGCGTTACCAAGGTCGGGTCACTGACAATACTGTGAAAGTTTAATTTGGACAGGTAAGTCATGTATTTTTCTAGTTGAAACTGCTTCCCATATATTTGTGAGAAGTCTTCGTAGGAATCTGAAAAGGGGGAATTTCGGGTCAAAAACTGATTTTGTCCCTTTGATGGTTCAGGGTTTTGTGCGAAACCAAGCGATAAATTTTTGTCATCATTTGCTGTGCATGAAGCGCATCGGGGCGGTCTTTAAAACAGTTTCTGTACTGTTCTTGGTGGAGCTAATGAGATTGCCTCATCATCATCATCAACGACAGCATGACATCAGTGCTCAACACCAATGCTTCACTGCCGTACAGCCATGACTTATTTGAAAGCCTTATTGTAAAGAAAAGAATAAAGGTGGATGGGGGAGGGACTTAGTGCTAGCTTAACACAATCATTCCGAGGTGCCTACACCTCCAGACATTCACTCAGGCAATCTGGACAGAAACTGACAACAAGAACGCCACTGACATCGGTTGGCAGCCATATCTTGTAGTGTCTCCAACCAGGCACAGTGAGGATCACGCGGTCCCCATCCTGGAAGGCGAGTAGCACCGACAGCACCCAAGAGTTTCGTGATCTCCTTCATACTCCTCTGCCA